CAGTCAACTAAAATTGGCTGCGGATACAGCTAGGCAATGTAACTTTAACATTGTGGGCGGAAAAGCAACCGGAACTTACAGATTCTTGACAGGATTCTACGGACTAGCAGATATGCCAGCTGAATTTCAAAAGGCTATGGATAGAACCATCAATCATGCTAAAAACACATTCTGTTTCCTGGATGACATACTTATTGTGTCAAAGGGAAGTGAAACCGAACATGCCAACCTAGTAGAAGCAGTATTAAAGAAATTGGATGCGGAAAATTTGGCACTGAAACTATCAAAATGTGAATTTTTTAAACAAGAAGTGAATTGGTTGGGTCATCATCTCTCAGAAGAAGGAGTTAGACCGAAGATCACTAAAACGGAAGCGGTAGTAAACTTGAACCCGCCGAAATCCCTAAAACAACTAAGGTCATTTCTAGGAAGCATAAATCATCTAGCAAAATTTATACCTAACGTAGCAAGTCTGACAGAAAAATTAAGACCTCTTCTTAAAGAAGAAAATCAAAAGAAAAAGTTAAAAAACATGAAACTCCCGGTGAAAAAATTCGAGTGGGGGGATGTTCACACAGAAGCATTTAATGCTATAAAAGGAGCTGTGGCAAATATTACGAAAGTGCATTATTTTGATGCAAATCGACAAACACGAGTTAAGTGCGATGCCAGCCATGATGGACTAGGGTCCACTTTAGAACAACAAAATGATGAAGGGTTGTGGGTCCCAATTTCGTTCGCATCTCGATACCTAAATGCTCAAGAAAAAAAATATTCAACAAATGAGTTGGAACTATTGGCAGTTGTTTGGGCAGTAGACAGATATAAACACTATCTTCTGGGGAAACCATTTACCATCGCAACTGACCATAAAGCTCTTACAACAGCATTGGATGTTAATCAATCAAACAAGACCTATCAGTCACGCTTAACCCGGTGGGTTGACCGGTTACTGCCGTATCAGTTCAACATAGTTCACATTCCGGGGAGGGACATGGGCATAGTTGATTATTTATCGCGTGATCCTTTCAATGATCCCTGGCCCGAATCAGAATTAGACGAAAAGTTTGTAGTAGCTACGATAAACTCCTTTCATGAAGCGTTCGACTGCTGGAACAGTAGGCTTAAAGATTCAAGTTCGCTCAACCGGAACGAAAACGTTCTAGAATGTTCTAGAAGGAATGTTAGGAAACAGTCATCAAGTAATGGTTGCTATAGCAACCAAAACGGTCAAAACCGAACAAAGCTCGACCGGAACGAGAGAAAAAAGTTTCCACGACTGCAAAAACAGCTAAACACAACAGTTCAACAGAAACAAATCACTTTTTCGTCAAATCAACCCAGCAAACAGTCAGTCTCAAAAAATTGCAAAATAAAAAAACGACCAGTACCGAAAAAAATAGAAAAAACAGACTCAAGAATCGAGATGTCAGAAAATACAAACAAAACATACGACTGGTGGTCCAGCTCACCACAAGATTGGCGGAATGAGGAGCGTGAAGAAAGCTTAATGGACCCAAAGTGGAACCGATCATTTTCCACCAACAACGAACTCTCGGGAGAAGAGGAAATCACAGAGACAGTACAACGTACAAGAAAGATTATACGAGGAGGAAGAAAAAATAGGGACAGCTCAGACAGCGAAACACGTCAACAACAACGAGTAAAATGGTCGCTGGAACCGGAACAACAACGAATAGCGGACCAAAGACTGCTCTCTTTCTGGCAACTAATAGGCGGAGAAAACAATGTTCAGGAAAATCGAGAACTGGTGGCCGATACTCAAGAAGTCAGAGAAAATCTGGAAGACGAATTCAATCCAACATCGTCAAAACCGATCGCATCGACAGAACGAAAACTCAGTGAGGTGAACGTAATAGAAGTCGACCTAACAACCACAGAAGAGGCGGAGAGTGAGGAGGAAGTGTGCTCAATCCAACCGCCAAAGGGTCTAGGAAAGTTAAGGCTGCAAAAGCAGCAACAAGTAGAGACTCTGGACAACCTCGCAAAACTGTTCGACAAAAACTTACTAGCAGAACTGACCACAGAAGACACGTGGATGGACCGCCTCAGGAGAGTGATAGAGAGAGGGGACAAACAAGGATTCGAACTGATGGGACCCTATACAAATCCGTTGTGGTCGCAGATGGCAGTTCAGGACGACTGCATCTTGGTGAATAATCGGCTAGCAGTACCAGTTCAACTACGACAAGCTGTCCTGAAACGAATACATCGGGGACACCCAGGACAGGAAGCGATGTTGGGAGCAGCGCAATATCTGTGGTGGCCACACATGAATAAGGACATCGTGAATTTGGCAGAGGAGTGCCGTAGTTGTACCAGATATGGTAAGAATGTAAAATACCTTATTTCGAAAAATTCGTCAAAACCACTACCACTGCTCACGCAGCCGGGACAGGAGGTACAACTAGACTATGCGGGGCCTATAGAAAATCAAAAAGGAAAAAAAATCTATCTTTTAGTAGCTATTGATCGATTCTCAAAATTTCCATCTGTGAAGGTTACAAAATCCACAAGCGGAAAAAGCACAGTAAAATTCTTGAGATCGTATATCGACACTCATGGAGTCCCTGAATCAATTCGTTCGGATCAATTTTCAGGCTTTAAGGGTAAAACTCTAAAAAAATTTTGTTCGGAACTCAATATCGAGCAAAAATTCTGTCCGGTGGGGGATCACAGAGGTTGTGGGTTGGTTGAACGTACAATTCAAACAATAAAGAGAAGACTGGGAGTGATGATGCTCGATGAAAATAATAAATCAATCAAATTATGTCTCAGTATTATAATGCGAGATTTACGATGGAACAAGCAGAAAACAATTCAAGTATCCCCGTTCCAAGCACATTTCGGCAGACTACCAAAAACAGAATTTAAAATTGTGAGGGATAGGTTTTTAAATAATTCTGATTCTTTAGACAAACAACACTTGGAACGCTCAGCACTGACTGCGTCTCAAATGAAAAGGAGGATTGACCAGTCAAGAGAGAATCTCAAGATAGTGCGCAAGGGACAACTGAGCAGGGATACAAGCCCACTGCACAAGCAGCAGATAACATCGGACAGAGACAAAGAAAGAGCCAAAGCCCTAAAGGAATTGTTGGAAGCGAACGCCCGCTGGAACTACGAAAGAAGGGACGCAGCTAAAAATGACATCAGGAAATTAGTGGACGAGACAGGTCAACTCAATCCCGACCTTCGAAAAGAAATGATTTACTCTTGGGAAAAAGGATTTGTGGAAGATAAAGTAGAAAACCAATGCAAGTCACCACCCAAGACAATACTTAGAAAGGACCCCCTAAGGAAAAGCGGACAAGCCCTAACCAGACCACTAAAGGGGAAAATAGCTTCAGAAACGGAATCAACAATTAAGACATCGGCCGGTTCGATCTATAGAAAATCGGACATAGCTCAATCAAAAACCGTACTTACACAAGAAAAACAGAGAAGCAAAAGTAAAAGTCCATCGTCGGAACCTACAAAAAAGTTCAAACGAATCAGTTCTCCAGAACTACTAGAGGAGTTGGAATCGGAGGACGAACTCCAAGGAGAAATGGAAATCGCAAATGAAATGGACCCAATAGAGCGCTTTCAGAAGAGCCAAACAATCGTCACTTCTAAGGACACAGAAGCCGGGGGAGGATTGAATCTTGCTATAAAAAAAGCAAAAGCAAATTTGGCGGGACCAAAATCATCAGAGGAAATAATCACGAACAAGCCGGAAAAAAGCGGAAAAGAGAAGAAAGGCCGAAGCAAACAACAACAGGGGACAAACGCAAACCAAACTGCGACTGCAGTCAACTCGGAACAAGAGCAAGCAATATCTAAGCCGGATTCGGTCACAGTAGATACCAAAATCCAGTCGAGTTCTACGCCGAAAACCAAACAGCGTCCGAAACTGAAGGGCATTGACGCGCACACCCCTCTTGAAGATATAGTGGAGACTTTTCACAATAGAAATTTGGCACCATCTGACTGGGAAAAGTACGCGGACCAATTGTTAAAAAGAGGAGTGCAGCGAGTTGCGGATGAACTTAGAGAAAATCCTCAAAAAGGCTCAGAATTGGATACGAATTTCGAACCACCACAAGGATTCTCGGACGAATCAAGTGCGGAAGAGTCAGGTGTTCGAAGGAGTTCAAGACAAACAAAAAATAAAGAACCCAAACGTTTCGGAGATCCGATAAAACATTCAATCAAAGAAATATCCGAAAGTCTTACAGGCAGAAGTCTTTTGAAGGAGGCACTTAAAGAATACAGAAACCAGCTGAGAGAGTTCAAAGATCGGGAAGACAGACCTTTGGAATCAAAAGTGCGGCGACTCGAAAGACATTTATTTATGCGAAAATTCGGATATGCCACTTTAGATGAAGGAGTAGATTGGAACCCGAGTTGGGAAATTGAGCTAGAGGAAAACTGAAATCTACATAATCCAAAAACTGTCATTCATCTTAAGAACTTTCTTCCGAACTGAGTAAATTAAAACTCTTTTAAATAAATTATCCTACTGATGTTGTATAATTTATTTCTTTCACCGAGGGGGGTGTGTCATACCGCTACTGCAGTAGCAGTACTCACTATACGGATGTACAGCCAACCTCTGGTGTTAAATCATTATTTTATGGTACGCTCAAGGTCATACATAAGTGATGACACTGAGACTAAGTGAGAGATCAGAGTACTTAACAACGATCTATCTCTCAGTACATAAGAAAACAAAGAAAAGAAAAAATCTAAATTCAATCTTCTAAATAAAGTATTGAATTCCAACTTGTTTTCAATTTGATATCGCAACGCATATCACACCTATAAAGACCCTATTTTGCGAAACTCCTATGCGTCGCTATTTTCGTAAGCGCCTTAGAGAACGTCACTAAATCGTATGGTCCGTTTTCAAACGTTTTTGTTAGTTTTTTTTTTCAAATGCGAGTAAATAGATTATTAGTATGTGAGACTATAGTATTAAAAATGTGAAGAAATACCTCTAATCATCAGGTATATCTGGGCGTTGAAGAAAATGAGAAACGACAATGGCATGTAGGTGAAAATGACAGTGGTGCACAGCATGAAGGGGGTCAGTGACCTCCAGCCCTCGTCACACACGAAAGTGGACTGCGGGTCACCGGCTGATTCCGTCACGTATGGCCACACCACAGTTATGGGCACGTAAGTTATGGTCGGAATGAGCCATGCAAACGAGATCATACGCATGACATTTTTGATGTTGTGTTTATACTTCTGAAATTTGGTGATTGTCATGTACCTGAAAAAAAGGCAAAAGAATTTGATTTCACACCAAGTGCGGTATGAAATTTTTTTAGAAAAACAAACAAACCAAAATTGCTGTTTTTGGTGATTTTTGGAAGGTTTTCTTCATACTCTCAAAAGAGCTATCCAGCCTTAATTTACATGTACAATGCCGTATTCAGGCACTTCGAATCTCTGAAGTATCTCTGAGGTAATTTTTTTAAAAATGAGAAAATTAATCGAGGACCCTGTCGGGATTCGTACCCGTAACCATTGGGTTCAAATTCAAAAAATTAAGACGCTTCAACTCACCTATCAAAAGTGACAATAATTAACGACAAAACTGACGTGGAAGTCGCAATGTAATCACTACACAACCACACAATACACATTGAACTGCCGAAAGTCCATTTTCCCGACAGTTTGTAATAAATTGACATTGGAAAGGTGAAGGAAACCACCAAAAGGTCACTGGAGGTCAAACTTATTAAGGGGAAATTAGTGGGAGTTCGCAGTCGTCTGTCTTTGCAGAAAGATAAAATTACCGACAAATTACCCAAAACAGCGATGAGTATTATAGGACTGACTATACCGATTATGATGTAACATTGAATGGGTTGATATTGGTACATCTCGAAAACATCCGAAGAGTTTGTCGGCTCTGACGAGAGAGGAGTTTCCTCGGAAATGGGAAAATTGTGTGTGAAAGTTGTGACGTCTGGAACTGAAAAATAGTTGTGATTGTCCATCTTTTCGTGTGTGTTTATAGCCCAGGGTATTACACGCTCTGGTACTCTGTACTGGACGAAATGTTTTTGCTGCTAAAACATTTTTTTTTTTTGTAGATAAATTTAGAAAGTATATTAGACTTGTTCAATAAATGAAAATCATCATAAAACAATTTGGTTAGGAAGAAAAACAGGTAATTGAAAGGAAATAAGAATATATAATTTTACCATGTATTCATATTGAAAGTAACTTAGAAATTGACATAAGCGAGTAACTGCTTTAGTTTTATTGCTTGATCTCAATAAAAACCAAGTTGATTCTCATTAAAGAATAATATTATGAACCGGAAAAAGGTTTTCAATCTAAGAAATCCAGGGAAAATGTTAAAAAAATCAGTTTCGCATTTAATTTCAAAACATCGTACATTCTGCTTCGTATATTACGCTATATTTAAACGCCACTACAAATTATGCTTTTCTTCAAAATAAATTTACAATTTAATAAGTTTTGAAGATTTTGAATTTTTCTAACGGCAAAAAATAGCAATTTTTCGAAACTGTTGCTCAATAATTTAAAGGCCAGAACAATGTAAAATTCAGGTAAATTGATTAGCGGATTTAAGGGTATGGGTGCAAAACTTTCCAAAACTTTTCATCCGCCTGCAAAGAAAATTTTCAAAAACTGAACTTTCTCAAGTTAAAGGCGCAGAAAAGTTTCTCGAATTAGGGTCTTTGCAGTGTTCCCAAAGAGCTTGAAAAATAATTTGGCCGACTGAAAAGAAAAGATTAAAAAAACTCGAACGGTTTTTGAAAAAACGTTACCTTCGCTCCTCAAGATTATCGCAGATCCACGCTTGGTTAATTATGATGAAAAGAGTTGAAATACACAAAGTGTGCTTCTTTTTTCATATTTTACATAAAAATTGCGGACCATATCAAAAAATGCTGTTATAACCAGAATTATTTTGTTATTCTAAAATTTGCCATGCCAGAAATGCTGAAATAAAATTGCATTCTGAAACGGTGTCAGACTAGTCGAACACAATCAGCTCACCGGAATTTAAAAACGAGATTAAATCTCAATCCTAAATAAACGGGAGATTAAAACACACCAAACAGAATTGAGAAGTTGCAAAGTTTTACAAATTGTGGGACGCAGCAGGCCACCAGTTTTGGTACATCGGAAATTAAATCTACATTAAAAACATGCTCCCAAATATAATGTTTGGAATTATGATACCCATAGAGGCAAAAACATTAATGACATGGCCGTACTTGGCCGTTTATACTTGGTACCATAAAACATATAGCGCGATAATTGTTCCAAATTGGCCAAGCCCTCAAACAATGATCACAGGTAAAATATCTTGAAAAATTGACATCAAAACGTCAATATCTTTCAAATGATTTCAAAAAATCCGTTCAAAAATGCTTGTTGCAAAACAGAAAAAAAAGAGTTATGAGAATTTGAAAAATGCTAATTTGGTCATCTCTGTTAATTGACGCGCTCAGTATTTTTATAGCAGAGCGAAAGCGCTCGAATCAGATTAAATGAAACGAAGCAACCTTGTTGTTTCTTTTTCAAAAAAAGAAACTGAAAACTTGTGCTCAGGTGTTCTTCAAAAATTTTCAATTTTAATTTGAAGGATTGACAGCATGTTTTAATACAGTTTGAAATATTTTATTTGCTCTGAGTTTAAAATAATACGAAATAATCTGAAACTATTTTTTGCGAGGTAATCAGGTTTCCAAATAGTTATTTTTTATGCTTATGGTTAATTATTGCCTGTTAAGTTTTGGATTCTGATGTTATCATTTGCAAAACTGAAAAACCACAATTATTAAGAGCATTTGTTTACAGAAAATTTAAAACATTTTTATAGTTTTCACGCCATTTAAAATCTGGGAGTTTTTTTTTTTTCATTTGGAGACAAATCAATTGTGCGTTAAAGCAAGTTTTCGTTGATTAAAAAAAAAGCATTTTATCAGATCCTATCTCCGTGCTTTTTGGACATTGCAAGCACTCTAAATTACTCAAATGTTTTTGTTCCGACTTTCGTAACGAAAGTAACAGAATATTTGTGCTCGGGGTGGGTTTTTTTTCTTCAGACCAATTTCGACTTTTTACTAGCCATTTTTGACGGAATTTTTAATTATCCTTTAAAAGTTATTGATGTCTTGAGCTTAAATTTGAAAAAATATTTTACCTGTGATCATTTTTTGCAAAGTTATGGGGGTTTAAAAGTTGTCATTTTGGCCAATGTGGGAAAATTAACGCGCGATGTATTTCGCGCTAATAACGCGCAAGTGGAGATTTAATCTTTCTCAAAAATCGTTCCAAATTGATTGAAGCAAGCTTCTTTGCCATAATTGATTTGTTACTAGGAGCGAAATCTATCACTTTGTACTATATATGGCTTGTGGGGGATAATTTTTGCAAAAGTCTCAAAATAAAAAAAATATATATATTTTTTTATATTTAATTTTTCATGTTATTACTGCTTCATAGACCTTAAAAAGCAGTCGGAACAATCAGGACTCCGCCCTTATACGAGCAGTTTTGTTTTAACTTATTACTGAACACAAGTAGGTTGCCTTTTCTTACGCAAGTTTCCAAGTTACGAAGAAAGGATGGAATATTTGTACTCAGTGTAACTTTTAATCAGACAAATAAAGATTTCAACTTTGATTTTGACAGATAGCAAGCAACAAAACGAAAGATATGGGTTTATAATCACAAAAAAAACTTTTACTTTATAATCATAAATAAAAACGCTTCAAACGCGATATCATTGTTTTGACGTTTTTTCCAATTAAATTACTTTTGTTAACTTTGCCGAATGAGGTTATCAACTTTTGATTTAAAAACAATTTGAAGCGATTCAATCTCGCCCAAAAATTGTTCAAAATTGAGTTGACTTAGTTTTATTAATCCAAAAATTACCTTCAAAGAAGCAAACTGATGTGATTTTTTGTCCAGATGTAAGCCAATATGTGATTTTTGTCGAAACTATTGCAAACGATACTCAATTTGTCCAGATTCTGTCCGCAGATGAAAACTCGGTCCAGACAATGAAAATTTTGTTGAGAAATTTAAATTGCTGTTGCAACCAAAAATTGTGTTTCTAGACTGTCGCGATCAGATCTCATTACTTCCAGATTTTGCAAAACAGAACGATGCGTTCGAGACCCACTCAACTCAAGAAAAAATGTCTTCGATCAGTGTAAATTCTCAAATTGACAGAAACTGGTTAAGGTTAATTTTTGTATCAAACAAGTATTCAGATAGAATAAAACGGATTCATGGTTTAATTTTACATGGATTTAAATGGAACTATTTTCGGATGCAGAAAACATTATTTGGATCAATTCTAAGTCGATTTAAAATGATCTCATTTCGAAATAGAACAAAAGAACATTTGGATCGATTCTGAGCTTGACTTACATTTGATCTAAATCGTTTATGTAAATCGATTTCAATCCCTATTTTTTTTCTTATTTTAAAATTTAAAGTTTAAAACTTCAAAAAATAGGTTTTTCAATTTAAATTTTGTGCTGGTAACTGATCTGAAAAAAAAATAGCATAAATAATTATTTGAATTTTTTTGGACCGTAATTAATTTTCCAAGCTGAATTTGGCAATTTTTTAGTTGATTAGTTTTTCGAAATTGCGCTGGAAATGTTGATTTTAAAATAATAATTTAAACAATTTCACTTGACATTGCTTCTCATCGTCGCAGTAACCTTTAGGTTGCAAAATTTTCAAGAGATCCTCTGAAAGTTTTAGTTTTTGGTAAAATACTATTCCGGAACTGACTGTAGTTTATTACACTGATGGATATTTTTCCTCAGTACAAAACTTTTCAAAACTTTTCTCAAACTCTGGAGCAAAAAATAAACCTAGATTGACATCAATATAGCGTGAGGCTACACAATTGATCTTTTTACAATCACAAAATAGGATTTAAAATAGTTTCGGGGTGATTTGGATGAATACAAGTAGGTACCAAAATCCATCGAAATCGAAAAAAAAAGAAGATTTTTAGACACATGAATCAAACCAAAATTTCCTGCGTGAATTGTTTTAAATCGGTTTTAAATACAACTTTGCAACAATCGAAATTCGATTTATTCTGCGACTGTAACACGGATTAAACATCGGTGCAACTTCGAAAATCTGGAAAGTTGTCGCGAATTTTGGCCCGGGAATTTCTTATTATGATATTTTTCTTACCTGAATAGTTCTTTTGGTGTATGAATTAGAATGAATATTTTTCTCAAAAATGAATAGTAAGCAGACGAATAAATTGTAATTATTTTCCGAACTACCTGTAGCAAAAAAGCCTCCGTTTTGATAAACTTAAGACAGGTTTATAATTAATAAAGGTTGTTTTCAGTGACACGGTTGAATATCTTAACCAAGCCAGTAGTAACTTCCGATTTATTCTTTTTCTTAGATGTGAATGAAAATCATTATTCTAGGAAAGCGAATTCGATTTTAATGAGGCAAGAGCCGCAGAAATGGAGCAACCAAGTGTTTTTATAAGAGACAGTTCTAATAGCAGACTTTTGTTGAAATTTGCGGAAATTGATTCCAAAATATGGGACATCAAAATTTAATGTCTATAAACCCAAACATGATTAAATCGAATTTGAAACTTTAAAAGAAAAAATATACATTTTTTTTTCTTTTCTACAAATTTCTGTGGTTTTCAAAAAAAAATTAGAAAATTATTTAGTAAATTTTCAAAAAGGGCCAATTTTTTGTTGAAAGAGAAACAATTTTATTATAATTTCGATGAAAAAAGACGTCTGTCCAAACTCACTTCTGATTCACGGGCGGATTTTTCTTTGCGCAGACTGAAAATCAACTTCACAGCGGGTGAACGACTCACATGCAGGCATTCTTTTTCATTATATATTTTGTCATCCTAAAGAGAGGTTTATGACAACAAAGAGTGGTATTAACGATTATTGTAAGGGTATCTTCCTAATTCAAGCAAAGAAAGAAAAGAATGAAGCATCATATGTTCTTAATGCCCAGAGGTAAATGTTAAATGATAGGCACTTAAAAACTCCTATTTGGAAAGAAAACGCCCAGACATAAGATTGAACCTTTAAGACTCAATAGTGGCCAAACATTTTTCATTTATTATTCAAGACCTGCGCGACAGAAAAAATATCATTGCTATTAACGTAACTGCAGGAAACGGCGCAACTCAAATTCTTATAAAAACCTTGCAAAATCAGTTTTTGTAGGCCAGAAAATGAAATCTCATCAAAATTTTTTTAATGAAAATTAGAATTCTAACAAGAAAATGCTTATAATTTTGGGTGAAGACTTTCTCGAAATACAACCTGCAAAGTTTACCGATTTTAGTAGTCGAATTTTTTTTTACTGTTTCTACTAGTCTGAAGCAAAAATTTTGCAAAAACTTACAAATAGACTTCTATTAGAACATGAGAGACACAAGTCAAATTAGCCGGCGGCATGAAAATATAAGATTTCACAGACTCTTTTATGATTTTTGAACAATTTTCCAAAAGTTTTCTTACCTCTAATTAATTGTAGTAAATTTGAATTTTGCTTATCGGAAAAAATCAATCTGAAAAATCAGGTGTTTTTATGAATGCCTTTATTATATAAGTACTAAGTAATTTCAACATTCTTTTAGTTTTTCTAAGCTTCAACTTGGATAGGTCAAAACTTTGCCTAATTTATGAAAAATTTGCAATTTTTTGCTTTCAGAACTGATGTTCAGAAGAATTTAAAACCTTGTCTGATTTTTGTGAACCTGTGACTTCTTGTTTACTTCATGTGGATTGTTTTAAAAGATTTTATGCTGCTTAGCTAAAGAAAATTATAACGAATGGTATAAATGCTTTTCTGTTTTTACAACAACAAGTTTAAATCAAAATTTCTGGTTTTGGTTTGAGAATTACTCAAACGTTGTTCATTTTGGATTTTGCTTTCCAAAGTCAAGCTTAGAGTGTCAAAAAACTGAAAAAAATGGTGGAGATAAGGTTTTAGGTGAGCATAAATTCAACACAGGTTTTTTAAATTATTTTAAAACTTTTTTATTGCAAAATTGTTAAAACTTTTTAGAAAACCTTTTTGCCAATTAAACGCTAAACTAAACATCAAACACTAGTTTGATTTATAGGCAAAACAAGTTTTTTATCCAAAAAGACTACAAATTATTAACTTTCAATATAACGAGCTTTGTAAGATCGCACTACTCGCTCGACATTAGACTAAATCTCAAAAACTTCAACCTGTTGTTTTTTTCTCAACACTGGAAAAACACTTTGAAATTTTCTTGATGAAAGTTTTTTTATATGATATATCACTCGACTTATTCCGATGATTTTTTTGGCACCGGATTTTGCGTGGAAAACAAAGCAAAAGGAAAAAACTAAAACACTCTCGAATACAAAGTTCCTCCTCACTTTCAATGGTCGGAACAAAAATATTGACATCGTAAATATTAAATAAAATATTTAACACATGAAAATTTTTGCGTCGACGCTAGTGAAAATGAGTAATTTGATGATTGTCACTTTTTTTAAACTTTGTCCTATTTAGCAAAACTTCTAATCGCATCCAAATTTTTTAGTTATCAAAAAATTGATGCCTAAATACTTTTCAAGCTACTTTTTATAATAAAAAAACTGAACGTACTTTAAGTGATATGATGTTTTAGTTTTCCAGAAAAAATTGCTTCTAGCTGGGAAAACACGTTCACACAAGCCTGGATAAAAAACGAGAACGTTTTTTTATTACCAATAAGCAAAAGAAAAACAGATCTTTTTTAATTCTCTATTTTTGACAGCTTCTTTGTTTAGTGTGCTATCTAGCGATGGTTTTATAGTCTTATCAGGAAAGTATTAAATTATTCACCTATCATACCATGAGGGCAGAATACTGCAGTTTTAATTAGAATTTGTGATTAGAGTTCGTCTATAGTAAAAAAAACTATGATCAAAGATACAGAATGCACCCCCCCCCCCCCCCCCTAAAAGATTTCAGGAGAGGGGATGAGAAATTTAAGTTTTTTGTTGGGGTTTTCGGCTAGCTAAAATGGAGTATTTTACGTGAAGCGCTAGACAAATTATGTCCAAAATAATTAATTGAGGAAGGAAAAAACTTGATTTGGGCAATTTAGCGGGGGGGGGGGGGTTCGAAGTATTGATGGTGGGTTGAAAGTGATGGCTTTTATGTATAGTACGAGCAAAATTGCAATGATTCGTTCACTCAGATTCTCAGAAATCTCAGGCAAATGAGAAAAAAATTTGGATTCTTCGTTTTTTTTTCCAAAATTCATTTGGGAAGCGAGGTTGGTAAGAAGAAAAAGCAACAGGTTTCTGAAGAAAAAGCCCCGATGTTGATGACTTAAAAAGCTACTAATTGCTGAACCATTTGGGTGGAAAGTTTTAATCGATTGTCACAAAATCGAGAAAAATTTTGGATCCTGCTAACTATCCCCCCCCCCTATTGCAGCAGAGGAGGGGGGCAACAGAGGGGGGCCAATTTGTTATAAGGTACAAAATCCGTATATATGCGTTTATATAACTTTTCAATTCTTTCGTTAAAGGGGGGAGTCGTTGCAAGGTACAAAAATTGTACAAGCACAACTTTTCATTTCTTTCTTCCCGGGATGACCAAAAATACAAGTCATACAATTTCCATATATGGAAAAATGCTAGTCATACACTTGTCATTTATATGTGGGAGGGACAGTTCGTTACAAGGTACAACGTTTGATGCGCTTAACTGTTCCATTTTTTTTTGATCGGAGGCGAAGTCGTTACAAAAGGTACTATAAAGGGGGGTGTTCTGATGTTCCGAAAATTTTCAGCCAAAAGAAGACGTAAAGCCCTCTCAATCTGTTCAAATTTCGCCTGTACTTACCACTGTTCTGTTGTGACTCGTTACTAAAATTGGAAGGTCAAACTGCATAAATGTGGCCAACGTAAGAAGAGACTCCATCACGTGACGAAATTAGAATACTGTTTCTCAAATAAAGCGGAACCAATTTATGATATTTAACTTAGTTTCGCTCTGATGCGTTGACGTAAAAGACATCGAACAACTGAAAAATATGTGCTAATTGCATCTTTGGGAAAACACTAGAAAAAATCTCCAATTTATTTAGTTCAAAACTCTTGTGCAGGTTTTTCTTTTTTTTTAAAAAAAAAGACAGAAGGACAACACAAAAGCAACAAAAATGTAAAACTATCAAAACATCTCACTCAGAAAATTCTCTTTGTGAGGGGAAATTAAATTTCGAGAAATTACTAGAAAATGAGGAAAGTATTGAGCGTTAAATGAGAAATTATTAAAATACTGATGAAATCTAATTTAATCGATAAAACTAGAAATCCATCAAAATTTGACCGAGCACCAAAAGTGCACTATTTTCTATCAAGAAAAAGCTTACACCACAATTGAGTTTGACAGCAATTTTTTTTTTTCAATTAAGTTTGATTTACTTTTTTATTATCTATTATATGCATATTTTAGTGAGCTCCAATCCAAATTATGGACGTTATCGAATATTTGATTTCCGCTTGGCGGAAAATCAGGAAAAATGTACATAAATAAGCATTAAGGAAACACAATGTATTTTTCAAAGGGCTAAAACATTAGGACAAAAGCGGGCGACTTTACAATGATGAAACAAAGCAATTAGCACATGTGAACAAAATTTCTTTCAAGTAAAAAATAATCTTGACGATCAACTTGATGAGAAAAACGTGGAAATGTCAGCTTAAATGCTACTCTTGAAGCCTAATGGCTGCACTTCTTAAAAAACGGAAACCATTTCCCCCTAAATGGCTTTGATAGAAAGAATTCAAAAAGCAAAAACAAAAACACTCTGTTTTTCCCATAATGATGAATGATTGATAGAAACGTCTCGGAATTCTCTGGTATAGCTGCAAGCTTCGTCTATTTTACAATAAAAGACTTAGATCAATAGTTCACTCCTTTCAAAATATAGAGCTCTTTAAGGCGCATTTTTTAATCAGCTGCTCAATAGAAGCGGGGGAATTTTATTGAAAAAAGGTGGTGATTTTTGCAGCTTCCGAAGGCAGATTACAAAACGGCAACCCCCCACCCCCCCCCCCCCCCCCCAACGCTGCAATCACAAAAAGCAGAATTCAAAAATGGTGACAATAAGTATAGGTGTGTCATTTTCGAGCCATTAAGACGGAATTAACTAATGTATTTTCATGGGAACACAATTAATGAATGCCATTTGTCGCTTTGTCTTCGATATTTTAGATAATATTCATTGAGCAGCCCCACCTTAAACCACCCCCCCCCCCACACACACACACACACACACACACACGCACACACAAGACCTTGTAAATGAGAGAGCACCCACTCCACATAACAAAATTAAAAAACTGGTTATTAGGTATAATCTCTTTA